TTCTATATTATATAAGATCATGTCATCAGCAAACAAGATAATTTCACTTCTTCCTTTCCTATTTGGAAGACTTTTATTTCTTTCACTTGCTGCCAGTGCCATGCTGAATAGAAGTGGAGAGTATACACTGAACTGTGTATTTATCCATGTTTTTATTCTCCTTAACTATTTCTTAATGTTTGCTTTTTAATATGCTTACGAAATACATGTTATACATAAAGTATAAATAATAACTACACCCATATGTAAACTACCATGCTTACGAAAGCCAGCATTATGTGGACATCTCCTCTATGATCACACCCCTCTCCTCCTCCCATAAGGAATCATTAGTTTACACATGTATTTCTCACTCTTTTTTAAGAGACAGAGTCTCACTTTGTTGCCCTTGGAAGAATGCCATGGCATCATAGCTCACAGCAGCCTCCAGCTCTTGGGCTTAGGTGATTCTCTTGCCTCAGCCTCCCAAGTAGCTGGGACTACAGGTACCCGCCACAACACCCAGCTATTTTTTTGTTACAGTTTGGCCAGGCTGGGTTAGAACCTGCCACCCTTGGTATATGGGGCGGGCACGCTATGCACTGAGCCACAGGCACCGCCCTCTCATTCTTTTTACTTTTCAGTTTTACTATGTCGGAATGGATCTCTCAATACTTATTTTGTCTTCAGTGATATGGCACTTTCTGTAAAAGAAACCACATTGTAGCTTTCTTCTGTAACTTTTTTCACAAAAAGACTCCTTGGGGTATTTGTCCATGCTGCTGGAAGTAGTTGTGGTCTGTAGACCAGGCCATTATATATGAATATCACAATAACTATTTTTCAAGTTTTCCTTCTGATAACTCTATCCTCTCTCACATTCCTAACTATGGCAGATTTAAGAAACAGTCTAAAATTTTTTTAAAAATTAAAACATGTTTAAAAGGGAGTAATTTTTCTCAGCCACTGTCAAATGTTCCTCTATCTGTTTAAACTAGTTGTGCAATGATGTAATTTCAGTTGTTATGAGTCATTGTAATATGAATACAAAAAACTGTTTCTACGAACATTAAGTTAGATAGGAAAGACTCATTAAAGGCAAGTAGCTAAGTCAAATTGGTGCTGACTTAGGTGAAGAAAAGATAATTTGAAAGAATAAGTTAAAAAAAATTCATAAAAACCCGGTGGACATTAGCCCTCAGATTTCTTTGAAAGTGCTTCTAAATTCTTACCACACTTTAAGGAAATCAAAATAACATACTTTGGGTGGTGAAAGAAAGACTGTGAGAGGCTGCTTGAAGAAAAAGCTTCATCTCTACATGAAACGACTGGCTTTAAAAGGTGCATTTATGTTTCTTAAGTAAAAATACAGTATTTTTAGATTTCTTATAATTCCCAACTTTAAAAGATTTTTTTCCTATATGGATCTGTTATTAGACTCAATCACCTCAATAAAAGAAAAACTGTACCCTGTTATTTCTCTTCCACTTTTATTTCACAAAGGACTCATTCAGTTTACAAAGAAACAAACTTTAATGACATAAATAAATTTAAAATAAGAAAAATGATGCAAAGGTAAACAAAGGTACAAAAGAAAGATGCAGCCATATAATTTCAAGAAATGAGTGTCATGTTATCCATTTTGCTTTGCTAAAGATAAACTTATCTCTAAGCTTTCTAGTAATCAATACCACAACGCAAAGTTATGATAGTCAACTATCCAGGAGCTTAAAATCATACATACAAAGGCCAGGTGCAGTGGCTCATGCCTCTAATCCTAGCACTTTGGGAAGCTGAAGAGGGTGGATTGCCTGAGCTCATGAGTAGGAGAGACCAGCCTGACAAAAGCAAGACCCTGTCTCTACTAAAAAAAATAGAATAACTAGCCAGGCATTGTGGCAGGCGCCTGCAGTCGCAGCTACTTGGGTGGCTGAGGCAAGAGGATTGCTTGAACCTAGGAGTTTGAGATTGCTGTGAGCTATGACACCACAGTACTCTACCCAGGGCAAGAGAGTGAGACTCTGTCTCAAAAAAAAAAAAAAAAAAACAAAACCAAAAAGCAACAAACAAACATAAACAACCTGATAGCCAGAAAAAAAAAAGTTACTCATAATACAGAGAATAGAAAAAAATTTCTCCAGTAGATAATCAGTAGTTTATAACGTAGTAACTACTGGCAAATCCTTGTAGTGAAAACAGTAACAAATCCCATAAAGCTGTATTTTCATGAAATAAGTAATATAAAACACACACATACACATATAAACATGAATAAATATGACATAGGTTTATGTGTTGATATATTTTTAAATGAATGACATGTTACAAAAATATAATTTATAAAAACAATTGGTAATGATCCAATATCTCCATACTCTGACAATATACGTTAATCTAGATTAATGTTCTGGATTGCAAAACAATTTAAAGCAGGGGTTCTTAGAATGTTTGGGGTAAAATATCACTTTGAATATCTGATCAAAATCTGACCAATTTCCTCAGATTTTTAACAGAATTTCTGAGAATACTCAGAAATTTATAAATTACCTTATAAAGCTTAACTACCAAGGCATTGGTACAGAACCCCAGGTTAAAAACTCTTGGACTAGAATAGTCATCGTAATTGTAGGTTCTTAGAGCAGTGCTTGAAAACCACTTTCTCTTAGCTAGCACTCTGCAAGGTAGAGCTTATAAAGTGGAGTCAAGATTACTCCTTCTGCCAAGTACCTGGAGTGAAGATACTACCAGCTGTAAGTTAAATGCAGAGCCATGATCCGCTGAGCTAAGGTACAAGTCATCTCCTTTCATAAAAATGGAATCAATAAAGATGTAGGTCTCCAATAATCACTCCAGTTGGAACCTTGTGGAGTACTTGCCAATAGAGTCGAGATTTTCCTTGGACAGCAATTTGAATGTATGTATTCTCCATAGAGAGACAAGCAATCACAATTCCATGCCAGAAAGTATAATTGAAAAAATTTTAAGTACCCCTTCACCTTAATAGATCTTATTTAGTGAACCATCCAGTAAAGTAATATTCTGCTTTTAAGCAATATAAATTCTGATGTATGTGGTAAGTTAAATTATTGTTCTCAATTCTGCACTCATCTGTAGTAATGTTATATATACATCTCCACACCCTTGCCGTGGCTTCATCATAGGTAAAGTGTATATCCTGTGGCTCTGAGCTTCATTTTGTGATTTATTTTAATACAGCAGATAAGCAAACATGACATAAGCAAAGGCATAACAAGTGTGTAAAGGGACTTAAACTCTTGTGCTCCTAACTTTTGTCAAGAGAAGAATATACCTCAGACAGCTAATGGCTCACAGAAGGTGATAAAAAAAAAAAATGGACTAGGTCTGGACCTAAGAAATAATGTGGAACCCAGCCCAGACTAGTTTAGCCTTTATCAGGTGAACCACAACTCCATGTATGAGCAAGACTATTTTAAAGGTTGAGGTTTATGTGAGCTTGGGGATGATTTCTTATGCAGCATTATTTAGCAACTACTGACATATACAATAGATAAAGGTTGTAAGCTGCAAAATGTAAATGTCAATAACTAAATTACTATATGGACTACTGGGTATAAATCACAGGGGGCTTACAAAATAAGGGCAGAATATTTTTCTTCCTTGAGACATGGTAATAGCATACCAAGGCAATAATTCTCATCTACTTTGACTATGTAACTGATAATTTTGGACTATTTTTCTATCTATAATATTTATATTCTAATAGCTTACTTGTTATCAAAGGTAGGGAGTAAGGAATGTTAAGTCCCAGTGGGGATTTAGACCTGAATTTTTTTTTTTTTTTTGGCCGGACTGGGTTTGAACCCGCCACCTTGAGCATATGGGGCCAGAGCCCTACTCTTTGAGCCACAGGCGCCGCCCAAGACCTGAAATTCTTTAGAATTTCTATTGCATGGTAATAAAAAGAAATTGAGTTTTAATTGATTTTAGTGCTACTTCAAAATTCTCTACGTATAAAAGTATGCCCTATTGCCTAGATATGGGATGTACTTCTACTACACTTGCCCCCTTGGTCACTGATGAAACAACTCTTAACTGTTTAGAACACAGGATTCCATAGTGGAGTTCTCAAAAATAATTAACAAAAAATACGTTAACATATTAAATGCAGGCACTACCAGAAGTTTATTCACTTATTAATATTAAAAACATTATAAAGTTTAACATTAAAAGTTAATCACAATAAAAAAGGTCTTTGAGTTGTAACCAAATTGGCATTATAGTAGAAAATTATCTCAAATGGAAAGTCATTCAACTAATCCGACATTTAGATACTCTTTAAATATATTAAGATGACATCTGCCATTTAGTCCCATGTTCTCTTTTTATTCTTTCTTTATTCACTTATCTAATTTTAGATATGTAGATAATTATCTAAGTAAAACCGAGGGCCAATAAAAAATAAGAACACTAGTAAGAGTACTCCCAGATTTCTCCCCCACCCCCACTTTTCCTAAAGCACTTATTAGATTTCTTTTAGTCAATTAATACAAGAAACAAAGACCATAAAAGGGAACAAAGACCATAAACATGACTTCAAAAAAATCTAAAAAAAAGCAACTGCCTCTTTGATTTCTTTTTCAAATTAGAGTAAACAAGGATACTGTTAAGTAATGTAGTTCACGAATAATCTTTCACAATTCTGAAACTAAAATCTTTTCTTTCAATTTAAGAATATTTAGAACTACATTAATTAGAAGATACAGCTAAGATGAAATTCTTTAAATTAGAGTAATATATATACTACCTCATATATAAAATATGGAATATACATAATGGTATATTCTCCAGCAGACATAACAATATATACTCTATATTACTGCTGCCTTTGTTTTTTACACAATTAACAAACTCCAAGCCATCAGAATAAAAGTATAAAATAAGTAGCAATAGAATGAATCCAAATGAATATCTCAAGAATATTTAAGTCTTACTTTTATTAAGCAAAATTTACTCACATTTACTATCAAAAGTTTACATACCTGATGTTCCCAAAATTACATCCCACGGGGAATTAATGGGTTGTTCTTCTCCTTTTGCGCCACCTTCTGTATCTGTACCTTGAATTCCAATGCCAGCGACAGTGCTCACCTTCTCAGCTTCTAAGTCAATCTACAGAAATTTAATGAGCATTTTTATGCAATGAATGCTACCTTTGCTTAAGTCTTTTGCTACATAAAGATTTCCAACAGAGAACACTTGCAGAATAACGTTTTAAAAATGACTAAGTAATCAATTTTAGGGTAAACTCGTTATTCAAATACACACGATCAGTTCATTTCTCCACTGTCTAGTCCCCAAGTTTCCTTTTAATGTATCGGCAGAACTAATGTTGCACTCATCTTAACTATAAAATATTTTTAAAGAAAATAAAATTTTAAAACACAACCTAGCAAAATACATGTTTCTTAAAATTAAATGTACATATTTCAGTTATAATCAGCTACTGACATACATAGAATATGTGCCAAGCACTGATCCAAGAATGAGCCAGCCAACCAGCCAGCCAGCTAGCCATCCATGGAATAACACTATTATAGGGGTGTGATTTTGATATTTTAGAGGACATTGAGACACAGATCATTAAGTAACTTTCTCAAGATCCCACAGTAAGTAAAGAATCTGGGATCTGAACTCAGGTGGTTCTATGACACTATGTTTACTTTACTTTATAAATTGAAAACCTAATATATTCTCCCAGAAAAAGATGTTATCCTTTCATCTCCTGAGACCCTCTTCCAAATATTTGGTCATGAACATCTTCAAACAAACACAAAACCTAAACATCTATACACCCCCCAAGTAGACAGAGTCTATCAGTTAGTCACTTTATCATATATTTTTACCCAGCTATCAATAGAAAAAAAATTTCCTTACTTTATAGATATTTCATTCCCCAAAGCTACAGCAACTATTAAACTTATGGGAAAAATTTATATGTATTCCCTTTAAGATGAACATGATTAGATACCTATCATCACTGGTAACAAAAGGAGTGGAGGTACTGGCCAGCAATACAATAAAAGGTAACAGAGAGTTTAAAAATAAGTAGGAATTTGTTTTTGTAGACAATGTAACTTTTTATATAATAAATCACCAAAAGTTTTTGGCAAAAATGATAAGCTTATCCTAAAATTCAAATCAAATTATAAGGGGCCCAATATAGCCAAAACTAACTCAAAAAAGAAGAGAAGTGGGAAGACTCATAGCTCCTGATTTCAAAACTTTTAAGAAGCTGCAATCAAAACAGCGTGGTATTGGCCTAAGTACATGCACCTAGACCAATAGAATAGATCTAATATAAAATCTCATATAAAATATAAAAGGATTATAGTTTCAGAATTTTGAAAGATTATTCATGAACTACACTACTTAATGGTATCCTTATTTACTCTAATTTGAAAATTTTCAGATCTAATATAAAATAGATCTGAAAGTCCAGAAATAACCCCCTAACATCTATGATCAATTGCTTTCAACAGGTTGCCAAGACTATTTAATAGAGAAAGACTAGTTTCATCAATAAACCATTCTGAAATAACTGGATGCCCACATGAAAAAAAAATGTAATTGGACCACTCTCCCTTATGCCATATACAAAAATCAACTCAAAATGGGTAAGAGACCTAATTACAAGAGCCATAACTATAAAACTTTAAGAAGAAAATAACAGGAGTAAGTCTTTGTGACCTTGGATTTAGCACTGGATTTGTATATTCCAAAAGCATAAACAACAAAAGAAAAAAATGAACAAATTAGGCATCATCAAAATTTTAAACTTTTGTGCATTAAAGACATGACTGAGTGAAAAGGCAAGCAAAAAATGTGAAAAAAAATTTGCAAATCACATATCTGATAGACATTATAACTAGAATATATAAAGAATTCTCTTGACCCAATAATGAAAAAGATAAATTACCCAATTAAAAATCTGGCAAGAACCTGAACAGACACTTCTCAAAGGAAGATACATAAAAGGTCCATAAGCACAGGAAAAGATGCCTGGTTAGTAACCAAGGAAATGTGTATCAAAACCACATTTGATGCCACTTGACGTCCAGTAGGATACCTGGAATTAAAAAAAATGAAAAGGGCTCAGCGCCTATAGCTCAACCAGCTAAGGCGCCAGCCACGTACACCTAAGGTGGCGGGTTC